TGATAAAATAATGATGGTGATGATGATGATGATTATTATGATGACAATGATTATGATGATAATAATAAGATGATGTGAACAACAGTGGTTATAAAATAAATCCAACTGTGTTGATAGACAAATTTTTATTTACAGATGAATATCAGTTAGTCACTCAATCAAACAAACAATAGATAAATCAATCAATTATTCAAAAAATAACAAGTCATCAACAAAACCAATCATTCAAATGAACAATAAATAAAAAATCAATCATATAATCAACAATATTCTTACATTTGGTGGTGGATGAATACCAGCATTTGACCAGGCGGAGAGCCAGAAATTGTTGCCCACACTGCATCCATTGTACAGGAAAATGAGAACCATCACAAGCAGAAACACACGGACACGAAGCTGTTTGATATAATTGCCGTACATCGTAAAGCCAACGGATCCTTTAACACGCTCCTCTTTCTCAATTAGTTTTCCAGTTTCATCATCGTTATCTGAATATTGAGGACAAATCAAGAAAATATCATTGGGGTTGTCATGAGTAATTAAGTGATGCACAGAAATGATAGAAAAATTGTCTATTTTCATTTCCGGCCTACGAAGTCTCGCACATTTGTAATGGGGCTCGAGCATTCAAAACCACTCTCGTTCTGAGCGGTATCGCTTGTTTACTACATAATGTAGTTTTTTTATACACCAAATTCGTCACTGTTATAGTGAACAAACCGCTAGGTGTCAACTTTTGTAATGCCCCCACTTGAATAAACTTCAACAGTTTTTAAACCCCAAAAAATTCTTTATATGTACATCGTAAACTAAGTTATCGAAAAGCCTTGGTAAATATTCCTTTTTAATAAACGTCAGAGTTTTGACCCTTTAGATTTGAAATGGAATGAAAGAAACAAATGGAAAACTTGGAACATTTTTGCATAGCCTCGTCGCGTGAATACAGCCAAAAGTTAGTCTAGATATCAATTTTCAGTTAATTATCTTTATTCTATTTGAAGATATGGCTAATTGAAAATGCAACTTTACAAATATGTCATAATTGATAGCTAAAAAGGGGTATGACCCTCAAATTTCAAATGGCCGTAACTTCTAAACGACTTGGAATTGGCAAGTCAAATTTTGGGTTTGTTCGTCAGACATGTTGGTGCACATTATATCCGAGTTTCAAGAAAATCTGAGACGGTACCCAGCCATCCCATTTGTTGAGTTGGCACGGAATGACCCATACACCACTTTCGACTCCGCTCAATTCGGTCTATTGGCTACTTAAAAGTCACATTCAAAGGCGGTAGGCCTAATTACACGTTGTAGGGGTCTTTCTAGGCATTTATTTTATTTTATTTCAACTTTATTTCACGAGGGTAGCTCTAACAGCTGCACTACAGTAGTACAGCTGACTTGAAGAGGCCCTGTATCTATGAATCTCATAGGGTTACTAAATTCAGCCAGTTGCATGACTCTTCAAGTTCACACAAAAAGCAAGACTGTTATATTTAGCTTTAGCATATAACACAATTACAGGTATCTCCACAAATAGGCAGTAGATGAAAAAAAAACACCTAATAAAATTGTTTTAGACAAATATTCTATTTTTTAGTTTGCCATTTTTATACATTAGACTAGTTGATTTTTTATAAGCCATGTTTCCATTAAACTTCAGTAAAATAAACTAAAATGTTTTGGGGGTGGGGGAAACAAAATTGGAAAAAACCTTAATAGTATACTATGTTAAAAAATTGTCTGGAGATAAATATTTTTAAAATAAAAAGACAATACTACCTTCGTTAACACCTTTCTTAACAGAGATGACATCGTCCTCGTCATCGGAAGCAAATGACATCCTAGACACCTGCCTCAACAGCTTTCTTCGTTCTACAACAACATCATCTTCATTTTCTGAATCAACCTTCTCTTTTTCCTTCTGCTGGGATTCTTGGATCAGTGTCTGCCATTCGCTGTACAGTTCTGGGTCTTTCTTAGCTATATCATCCAGTGTTCCTTGATGTTGAACTCTGCCATCTTTCATAACAATAATCTGAAAGATAATAACTTATTCTTTATATTGTAACTTTTTTTTCAAGCTCTGTTAACACAAAAGGGACATAGAAAGATGATTTTTTGTTATACCCCTGTCTCTTATACACATCTAGATGTGTATAAGAGACAGCTTTCGACTCCGCTCAATTCGGTCTATTGGCTACTTAAAAGTCACATTCGGAGGCGGTAGGCCTAATTATACATTGTAGGGTTCTTTCTAGGTATGTATCTATGCATCTCATAGGGTTACTAAATTCAGCCTGTTACATGACTCTTCAAGTTCACAGAAAAAGTAAGACTGTTATATTTAGCTTTAGCATATAACACAATTACAGGTATCTCCACAAATAGGCAGTAGACGAAAAAAAAACACCTAATAAAATTGTTTTAGACAAATATTCTATTTTTTAGTTTGCCATTTTTATACAGTAGACTAGTTGATTTTTTATAAGCCATGTCTCCATTAAACTTCAGTAAAATAAACAAAAATCTTTTGGAGGTGGGGGAAACAGAATTGGAAAAACCTTAATAG